TCTATTATTATATAGGACATACACACACTATGAAATGAATTATACATAGTTCAGTTGAAGAAGATGAGCCACATGGCTTCAAAAAGCCTGGAAAATGTAGCATTACCTTTGCAGTGATGGATTACTCTTCCCCACAGCTTGTTCCTGCTCAAGCAGGACAGACTCCCCACAATCGACAAATGCCTCTTTGCCCTTGTTAGTGCCACGTTCATCCTCTTCTCTGAGTCTATGAACCCAAATTGTCTTGTCCTGACACATGACAGGACGATGATTTCCTTCTCAGCACCCTGGAATGCATCTACCGTGGACACCTGGACAGGTTTGGTTTCAAAAGCCTCAGAGTGGAGCCCAGTGAGCAAATTCTGGATCTGTGGGCAAGGAAATAGGGAAAGGGAGGAGTTTGGCTAGTCACAGTCAACCAGTTGTCTTGAGCAAACACACTCAACAAGTCTGAGCCTACACAAGGTGTGAACTAAGAAATGAAAGTGCAGCGAGGAGGGAGAACAAAGTGAAAAAGCATTTTTTTAATCATACATTTGAATTAAAATGTTTTGATCAACTTTAGAGGAAAAATATAGATTTATTTTTCTAATAAGAAAGAGAAATTATGGTAAACTCTACCCATCCATTCTGGCTGACTCTTCCCAGTTGAAATGCAACTTGTGTTTAGAACAAACACGTGGAAGGAAAAAGCTTTAATAATGATCTGTTACACAAACCTTATACATCTGTGCCTTATAAAGAGTAATCACACCAATTGCAGCTCCTTCTATGCCGCTTGCAATCAGGGACTGGATGAGCTTGACTATAAAATGAGCTTCTGCCATGTTGTAAATGCTGTTGTCTCTTTCCATCTGGGAAGAGGGAAAAGATGTCCAAATCAGGTCTCACAAACAAAATGCAAAGAAAAATGGAATGGAGGGAAAACTGTTCCAGAACTTACTTGCTCCATGCCATTAACACTGTAAAAACACAGTGTTGGGAGCCAATCCAGTAGAGGAGCTCTGTCCTCCTGGGAAATGCCATCCCTCAGGTTCCCTGCATAGAACAGCTCGTTGGCGATGGCACTCAGGGCAGGGTGACAGCGGTACTGGGTCCGAAGAAGTATTGGGTTGTGTCCCTGAAGGATTAGGATTGAGAAAGTGTGACTGGGAAGTGCTCAAGGACAGGTTGGATAGGGCTTGGAGCAAGCTGAAGTGGAGGTGTCTCTGCCCATGGCAGGGGGTGGAATGAGATGATCCTTAAGGTTGTTTCCAACCCAAACCATTCCATGATGTCTTGCCACATTGAAACACTGATCCTCTGACACCTAACCCAAAGTTCTTGTAGAGGTTTAAGTGGACCTGAAATTCCACCCTCCCCCTTTCCCAAAGGTGTGTTTAGCAGGACCTACCATGAGACACAGCCTGTCAAAGAGGGTCTGCTCCAACCCCTGCTCGTGAGCACTCTCAGACCCCTGGACAGTTGGTGGTAGCTGCTTGGGGTCTCCAACAAGGACAAGCTTTTCACATTGAAACCTGAATAAGAATGTGGAAAAAAAACCCAAAGGAAAAAGGTTCTAAAGAGGATGTTAAGCTGTTCATAAAGTGTGTGTTGTGAGTGTATAGCACACTGTTCTCCATCAACCTCCCTTCTCCACCACCCTCTTTCCACAGGTGAAATAACACCTAAAAGCAGACCTGGACTTAAAATTACCCTTCTTGCACTCTAGGGTGAGACCTGAGGGTTCATGTGCTTAAAGAGATGTGGAGTTTGGCAATTATGGGAGGTCGTGTCACTGCTGAGGCCCCAAAGGAAGGCTGTACCTGGCAATAGGGAGAAGAGAGGCAGGTTCAGTCATCTGACTGCACTCATCCAGCATCACCACAGGAAACCTGAGAGCATTCAGGCAAGGGAAGGGGCAGGCAGCACAGGTCACTCCAACCACCTTGACCTGTGTTGTTAGCCAGGGGAAGAAATGGATAGACCAAAAGTTAAGTTTGTTTCATAGTTATGTCTGTACAGGACATAACTGTAGCAGGAAAATACACCTAAATTTGGCTTCAGAAACTCTACTACACAATATCTCCCAACAAACTGCTCAGATCTGCTTTGCTCTACTATAAGCTGAGAATTTTTGAGCCCAGGACTGAGGAGAAAGCTCAGAAATTGAGAAGATTTTTCTACAGGGAGTAGAATCTGAAATCTCCTTGGCAGCTGATATGCAACTCCACGATAGATTTAGCTCAGTCCTTATCTTTTTCCCTTTAGGACTCTCTAAGTGTTAGTTTCCAGGTGACGATGCAGGTGAGGAGAGCTCAGAAATGTTTCTCTCCCCACCATATAGACTAGAGTGGCAATGTTAAATCAGATTGCAATGGAGCTCAGAAAGGGTTTCTGTTTTCCATCTCTTGACTGTACCTGTTGCAGGATAGTCTTATTGGTCCCCAGTTTGTGCTGCTCTATACTCTTCCTTACATATATCTTTTCAGCTGGAGTCAAATCTTCTTTCATGAGAGCCATCAGCTCTTTCAGCTGCTCATTTTCATTCCCTGAGCCTGCATGTAAACTTGGAAAGGTTTTGGAACAGGCATTACAATGAGGAAAAGAACTTGAATTGGGAAGTGCTTTCAGAGTTCTGTGAACACCCAACATAGACTAATCACACTTCATACATAACAATACTTTAAAACAATGTATTAACTTATCCCAAATTGCTTCAGATGCCTCAAACAAGAAGTTTCTTACCTGTGGGGAAGAATTGCTTTGGTGATTTTCCTAATACTTCCCACTCTGATGAAATCCTCAAAGCCAAGCTCGAGCAGACTTCAAAGGAAAGGAGATGATAGATGTTACAGGAATGGAAAAAGACATTTTGAAACCTTTAAAAGTGGTTTTAAAAGACACATCAGAACACAAACTCTTGTGATTAACCAGATCAGGCTACAATGAAAGTAAACCAAACAAAATTACCTCATGATTTGCCTCAAAAATGCTTCATGCCTTGAGGATTTCCCTCTCATAGTCTTCCATTTGTACATTCCCTTCCTTTATCCTTCCAAGCCATGAGTTATGCTTCATGTTAGCTTCATGCTGAATCTTCCCCAGACTGATTCTCTCTGCCTCTTCCTCTCTTTCCATCCCTCCTTCCCCTACTGCTACATCCCAAAGATCCCTGAGCCATATCACTTTGCCATGATGGATTTTAACAATAAATTTGATGAGAGCAGAGCCCAATATTAGTCTTATGCCAATGTCTTATGCAGCTTTCACTCCTTCAGTTGTGCAGAGGAGGAAAGGTAAAATTACAGCCTGTGTGTGGCACATTTTAGGAAAAGAATTCCATCTTTTGGAAGTGTTTTACAGGAAACATCAACACAACTACGTGCATAACTGCCATATAAATCCATATATATCCATGTAAATCCATATAAATGCATTGCTGTTTTGGGAAGAATGGTCTGGCAAGGCCTCAGTAACCCACCCCAGCAGGATCCTGTCAACAGCCACGTTGGTGGAAGAAGCAATCAGGAGTTTCCATGGAACTGCCCTGGGCCCCTCTGTAGCCTCACTGCTCTCAAAGAGCTGCGCGAGGAACAAGATGACCACAGACAGCAGGTAGCTCTTGCCAGCTCCAAAAACACCTGGAGTTTGGGAAGAAAAAGCCAAATTACATGGGAAAATTTCCTGGAAAATACAGTTTTCATCAAATGTTGTAACTTTATGCTATGATTCCTGTAGAAACATTGCACAGGATTTGCTTTGGCAGCTCTGAGGATCCGTGGGCAACCACTTACCTTATTCTTAGCATCTACTACCTGCAGGAAGTTCACAAAAAGCTATGGAAAAGGGGAAGCTGAGGTATTTTCCCCAAATTTTCTAATGGAAAACATGCATTATTTGCTAAGGAGCCTCCTCAGTACATTAAATAATACAAGTGTCTGCACGCACATCCCTCACACCACATCCTCAGTTGCAGAAAAAGGAATTGAAGAGATGATTACTTTGGAATTACTACTAATTTTAATTAGTTTAAGATGCCTGACAGCCCAACAACAGCTCAGGCAGTGTTGTCTGTACTGGGAATGTCATTATTGTCAACCTATTTACTGTGACAGGATCTGAGACCTTATGTCTATAGTGCTTCTTTTCAATACTGACTTAAAAACACCTTTGAGATGTTACTATCTTTTTTTGCACATGTTGAAGAGGGAGAAAACAAAGAGAGAAGGAAGTATAAACCACTAAGGAATAATGTGGAAGAGAAATTCTATGATAATTTAGCAAAGCTAAACTGGTTTTAGTATGAAAGAAGAAGAAGATACGAAGTAACTCTGATTTTGTGTATGTATCTCTTCAGATGGTAGTTTTTAGATAGGTTTTTAGGAACAAAACTCTGTACTTCTGTGGAATCCTGCAAAAGGCAGAATCCAGACTTCAGAATGGATCTGTAATGTCAAGGGCATTGTCAAGGAGCCCCATCCAGGAATGAACTTTCAGGAGATGCATGAAGTAGGTGAGGACAAGAGTTTATGAAGCTATTCCATACACAGGGGAAGTTTATTCAGGGTTATCTTTTGGGCTGCATTTCAAATAAGTCAACATCTACCTAGAATGTCCCTTCAGGTCTGCCTGGAGTTGTAAATCTCTGATGCAGGAAACAACTGTTTTATCACTGAGAGAACTGAGGGAGATTTCACCCACACTGGCACTAGATACCAATCAGCATTTTGGCACAGACACAATTTCAGCCAATCTCAAAGGTATTTGCTGCCTACCACGTATGATGGTGATAGGGAAGCTCTGGAGTTCTCCCTCTGGGTTGGTGTTGCCACTGGAGCTCATCATCTTAGCTATGTGAATCAGGGACGTGGCCTGGTCTGGGTTCAGGGAGAACCTTTGGATCATCTCTTCAGCCACTCCCATTGCTACTTCAGGGCTGACAGGTCCAGACATCACTGAGTGTTTCAGGCTCATGGCAGGGGGAATAAATCCTCTTTTGCTGACTCTCTTAGCAGCATTTTCAGAACCAAAATTCCTAAGAGAAAGACAAAAGCTGAGATATAATAGAATGTGTAGCTCCTGGTTCTGATGTTGTCAGTCTGAAGAACTGAGCTGGGAGTTTAGGATGTGCTCACAGAAGCACTGAACTCACATTCTTAGGAGGTGTGGGATTAGTGGCAATGTGGATGGATTGAAGTGCTCCTCCATGTTCCTGAGGGATGCCAACTCCCCACTGGCATTACACACCAGCAGGGCATGAACACACACTGCAAAGGCCACAGGGAAATCAGATTAGGGAGAGATTAAATGAGCCCAAATGTCAAATCAGCAAAATAAATTAATTCTAATAATTAATTAAGAGCTTAATTTAGCTCTTTCATTTAGAAAAAAAAAGTCAAAACAAAGCTAAAACTTTAGCTCAATTAAACAGCAAAATAAGAAACTTTTGCATCATATTTGGCATTGATCATTTTTTGTGACATCTATACCAGACACAGTTCAGGCCTACAAACCTTCCTGTTCCAAAACAACATCAGTGCTAGGCTTAGGGATATTTTCTTTTTAAAATACAAGGATGAAAAATAACTCAAACTAGAGAGTTTGGTGGTTTTTTCTGGATTTTGAAACACCAATTTTTTAGCCATTCTGGACTGTAGCAACAAAGGCACAGAAAGGAATGTTGTGACAGTCAAAGAACAGGTTTAATGTATGGATTTAAATATAAATAAATATTTAGATATAAAATACTATATAAGTGTCAGTTTTCCACAGTGAGTTGTTTGGGGTTTCTGTGTTGTTTTTCAGGGACAGTAACAACATATTGGTGTTACTCAGACTCTGACAGCCAATTTGAATTCCATATTATATTATCTACCATATTAATTTATATTATCCTCATTTCTTCCTCACCCATTTGAAATTTCCTACCAGCCACTTTGCAGGTTTAATTGCATTAAGTTCTGTAGTCAAATGTTCAAAGATCCAAGTTGCAAAAACACTGTGAATTAAACCATGTATTAGACTTGAGCAGTTTTAATCTCATCCTTCAGTGCTGGGCGGATTTTTTTCCCCCACAAAATTGAATTATTTGGTGCAGAACTCACTGTTGGATCTCCAGTTTGAGGGGCTGTAACCTTTCAGTGGCAGCAGCTCTATTTCATTGCTGGAGGATGGTCCAAAGAAAGCACTGCTGGCAATGAAGGTTTCCAGGGGGTCAAAGTTCAGAGTCTTTGAAACAACCCAAATATCATCTGTCAAAAACAAACACAGAGTTCTCCTCAGCTGCTTCTACTGCCACCTGCTAAATCTGATGCTGATAACTTTGCTTACCTTTGCTGTAGAGGGAGGAATGTTCCTTTCTGCTCAGCTTGAGGTATAACTTGGTTTTGGAATCACCATCAAGGCTGGCAGGGGTATTCAGCGGTTTCTTGAACTTACTGTACCTTTGTGCTTGAATTTCAAAGGTTTTCCTGGGGAATTGTGATTTTAAGACAAATTATGTAAACAATCAGCACACTTTGGGTTCAGCACTAAAAATAAGCTCCACAGATTGGAGCAAATTGCACAGATTGTGGTAGTTCATCAAGTTATGTTATTGAGTGTTAAATGAATTTATCTTGACTGCAAAATTCTCTCATCTTCAGCCATGATTAAATTGTGCAAGTTAAGCTGCACAGACCAACCTTTGATACAACTTCTGATGTCGAAGTTAGAATCTTGAAGAGAATAAACCAAATTCTCTTACAAAAGATTAGACGAACAAGAAGTCAAATGCAACAATTGTAAGGGATTTCCTTCAGGAACTGATCAAGCTGTTACTAAGCAGTTTTGATTCTTGCTGACAAGAAATGCCTTGGCTGTAAATACTACTCCTTCACTAATGTCGCTCTTGCATATCTTTACACAACTTTAGCCTATTTAAACCCAGTGAAGATGTGCTACATGCTGCAGAAATGCTGAGCTTGTGGAATATTTAAACCCTGAACTCACACAGCACTGAGAAAAGCTCCAGAATACCTCACCAAGAGCTGACATTCCTCATAGACAGCAATCTTTTGACTTCTGAGGTATGTCCCAATGCTTTTGACATCCTGCAGCACTGCACTGGGTCTGGATTTTGTCTGTGTGGGGTTCACATCCTCTATCCACTTGAAAAACGAGCACTGCTCAGCTTTAGGGGCATCACAGGCATAGAACAAACGACCCTAGGAAGGGAGAGGGGGGGAAAAAATCCACCATGAGCACTAAAACAAGCGAGAAAAGGGGAAAGCAATGGACCAGCACTTTTGCCCCAAAATGTAAAACACCAGGACTAAACAGCACCTTGTTTTGACCTTCTTTTTTCACCATAACAAGCTTAGCAGGTTGCATGTGGTTGCAGAGTGGAGCAGAGCTCCCTTGGCTCTGGCTTTGCCCATCCTTCACTGAAGAGTAACATGAGATATCCACTTTGGAGAGAGCCTTGTGCAACCTTTGGGACAGCTCAAACAGCATTATGTTCAATTGCTCTGGGGAGAGAAAGGAGAGGCAGAGATCAGTACAGCCTGAAAATGCTTACACAGGCACACAACACTCCAACAAACACATCTGCACTTGAAGATTTCAATCCTAAAGCAAAATATTTCTTCTGAGGGCTAGAAGAAAACATGTGACCTGCCAAAACCACATATAGCAGGGAAAAAAAAAGCTTGGGAATCTAAAGACTGGGGAACAAGCACAAGAGTATATAGTTGAACATGTGGGTTGGTATTTTGCTTTGCCTTTTGGGCATAGACTGAATATATTTCAGTATACATATAAAAATCCAAATGGAGTTGGTCTAATAGATGATGTTGGTAGTTTCTCTCCATTTTATGTAAAGCTTGAGAAACACCCTGTGTAAAAATGACACATTTTACATAGCAGAGTGTCAGACTCACCTGTCAGAGCAGCTTTAAACACCTGTTTGTAGTGAATATGAGACTGAAACACAGCTGGGATGGAAATCTGCCTCTGAGGAACATTAGCATGTTGCACTTTCTCCACACTGGGAAAAGACAGCTCAGAAATTGTTATGGCCTAAAAAAAAAAACACCCCAGAAAAAGAAACCATTAAAGCTTAAAAATCCCTGAATGAGGCAAATTTGGCAAGTTTGTGAAAATACAGATCCCTAGAGCTTGGGATGCCATTTGATATGTACCATGAGGGGAAAATTTCTTCATAAGCTTATAAAATCCCAGTATATATGGATATTATATATATGTATTGTATAAAGACAGAGATCTATGTTTATGTATGTAGATGTATAAAAACACACACACTGTGCATATCAGTGTATATATATGACATGTAGTCATTATTTCCCCACCTCTATTTCACACAAATATTTCACTGGACAGACAGTTTTAAAGAATTAGAAAACACAGAATACTAAGTTTACATCAGAAAAAAACCTGTTTGTCATTCATTCTGTTGGACAACTTTTAAAACTTGACTTGTGGTTGGTTTGGGTTTTTTTTTTCCCCGTTTACTCCATTTCTCTACTGGTCACAAATAGCTGTGCTAAGTTTCTAGGTGCTTATTCGGTGCCATAACTTACTTATCCACAGTTAAAACTGAAGAAATTTAATACATTTTAAAATCAGTGACTATGCTTTGAAGCCAACATAGGTGTTGATTAAAATGATGCTGATTAAAAATCAAACTCTCCTTGAAAACATGTTTTCAGCAATTACAGCTGACAAAACAGCCCAACAGCTTTTATTTCAGCTTCCTCCATCACCATTCAAATTAAAAACCTCAGTGTGTGCCAAGGAATTACCTTCACAAAGGATTTGTCACAAAAATACATTAGCACTGCTGTTGTGCAGCTGAGACTCTTTTGTGTTCCTACCTAGGTAGAAACATTTCATCCAATCCTACTGATAACATCTTGCAGGAAAATAGATAAATGCAGTGACTTTGGGCAGAAAAAAAAATGTGTTTCTGTCATTTACTTGCTTGAGCAGTTACACACCTGACTGTCTCCTGTTCCGGAGTAGCAGCTCAGGTGACACAACACCTTTTGTGTTGTCTCAGCCAAAGGTGTCTGACTGAGGTGCAGAGAAAGTGACTTCCCCTCTGAAATCAAAGCTGGGTGGTTGCTGTCTGCACAGCATTTCCCAGGCAAGCTCTTGGCTGGCAGCAGAGGTGCAGCACTTTGATCCGCAGCTCTGCTCGCTCCCAACAGCATTCCAAGGACGTTCCCAGCACAGATGTCACCAGTCTCTTCCTTATCATCGCTGTTTTGAGTGCTCAGGTCACACTGAGCACTGTTTTGATACTTGAGCCACTTGCTTTGTCTATGTTGGGAAGGCACATCAGGAAGCACTGGTTGTCCACATTCCCTTTGTCCATCTTCCATGTCCTCCCCAAACACGGAGGTGCCATAATTCCTGTCCTCGGGGCCAGGAGCATTCTCAGGAAATACCTCTGGCTCACTGCACAAATTGCCTTCTGAAGAGCCCAAGGATTGCTGGATCTCCTTGCTGGCTGTGGGATAAAACACCTCAGGAATCTCCTCAGTGGCAGGAAGAGTGACAAATGGAGTTCTTGTTTTCATGGTGGGTTTGAGCCTTGGGAGGTGCCATTCCTCTGGATAACTGGATTTCTCCCCTGCTGTAGGGCAAACACATCTTACAAGCAACTTGTAGCACTTAGGGATGGCACTTGAGATGGACAAAAAGATAAGAATTCTAAGTTCTTCCTTTTACATCCTGTCTTCTAACTGGGAAAATCTTTGGATTATTCCCCCCTAAATTCCATTGGACATGAGAGATTTTGTGTGATTCTTCTAATTCATTTCCATCCCTCTATTCAGAACACACTCTGTAGCCACTCTACTTGTAGAAAAGACAAGTTAGTTAACCATGATTATGTTCTGGCGGTCATTAATCTGATGTCCTTGGCAGGTCAGTGACAGCTGCCAAGTGGCCAACAGAGAGCTCAACACTTGCTCATTATGGATCCAAAAAGATCCCCCACAAAACTGGATGAATCAATATTAGTGGAGATAAAAATGTAGATATAAAATATAATGTAGATAAAAAAGCTAAATTAATTATCAATTGTGACAGTGAGTGGCAGGTGCCAACTGCAAGTGGGTCAGAGGACAGATGGATGTGGAAGAAAACTCAAAGCAGGTCAATAATAAAACCATAAATATGATTTATAAGCTTAGCTTACAGCCTTTATTTGCCCCAAACCTGAAGCTGGTTTTTCTTCATACAACTAAATCACTCTAGTGAAGTCTCTCTCAGGAGGATGTAACTGGCAGAGGAACTGTTTGATAGCACAGCTCACTGTGCTTCAAAAATCCTCAGAGATTTTCCAGCTAAAAGGTTCTAAGCTGCAATTATAAACTGTAATTTCTTACTGAAAAAGAAATCGGGGTGTTCTGGTTCACTTGGTGAGATCCCATGCATCAGGGGCTCCTGGAGGTTTCCAACTGTTCCCTCATTTCCTGCAGCTGGAGAAGTTGTAGAGTCTGGATCAAGTGGGGAAATCAGTTCTCCTGGTGAAATCTACAGATGAAGCATCAACATGTCAAGTGAATGGGAAAAAAACTCATTTATTGTAGCTCTTTTGTCACTCTTCTCTCTTACATCATTCTCAACAACTGAAATGTCTCTCAGAGCTCAAACTCTTCGAAACTAACAAACTACCATGAACATGCAGGAAATGAAGGCAAAAACATCCAGAAGAGACAGTGAATCCACACCTTGCCACGTTCCCAGGCAGGCCACTGTGCTTGTCTCAGCTCAGAACATGAAGGAGAGCCTGACACTGTCCATGGTGGCACTTCAGGGTACACATGGAATGCCAATGCTAGGGAAAACAGTGAGGGACAGAAGTCATGCAGAAGCCTTGAGGCCAATTGCTGCCCTTCTCCTTTTGGTTTCACTTACAGGACTGATTCATTCTTGACTCCTCAACAACATCAGACTTCACTTGAAAATTCCCTTCTCTGATAAAGTCAAGATCATCCTCAGGAAGATTTGTGGGACCTGGAGACTGACAAAAGAAGGATAAGCAAAAACCTGTTAGAAATTCAACTGTTTCTCTTCTATTTTTCAAAGTGAAAAATCCTCAGAGAAATGCTCAGAGACAAGAAGAATCTTGCAAATGCAAAGATAAGTCAAAAGAAGGGTCTAACAACAAAGTTTTAACCCCAAAGCACCATATTGGTCTTTAGTGATCCTGATGACTGCAGCATTCTAAAAAATGAACTACTTTTATCCTACACTGACAGTAGACTTTCTTGCACTCTAAGGATAGCTCGGAACAAACATGTTTTACCTGCCTGAAGTCATAACTGCTTGAAAAGAAGGGTGAGAAAAATGTCTCAGCTGCCAGCTCCAGGTGACCTGGGTCCTGCTGCCATCCTAGCTGTGAGCAGGGAGCTCTCAACATGACCTCACTGGCTGCTGAGCCCTTCACTTGGTGCCCTTGAAATGCAACAAGCTGCACAACACATTGGAATCACCATTCACTGGGAATACTGCCCTGGATTGAAATGTAAGAAACAGTGTTCATTCTACTTCAGTTGCACATAAATTGTACCTTTGGTTGCCAGTCAGATGTCCCAAGGTCTCTCTGGGCTGCTGATACCGGCAAGATACATTTCTCTGTCTTCTGTAACAAATTGTCCACACAGTTGGACTGCAAAGTATCAAAAGCTTATTAGTCTAAGCATTTAATAAGCACTTAAAGTGAAAATTTAAGCTAAGAAATCTCTTGTGCTTAAACCAAAGAGGCATTTTGAATCACAGCCTTTTTGTTTGGGAGCCATGGCAGGAAAAGGAACTATGTTTGGTTTTCAAACAGGTCAGGAAAAAGGATTTAATCTAAAATCATTCAAAAGATGTGAAAGAAAACAGGTTGCCAAATAAGATGGGGCAGGGAAGGAGTACCACACTAATGTGATATTAAACATAACTAAGTATTCCAATTTGCATAAAGTTTCTTGCCACACATGAGGCCTCCTGAATATTTATTGGCAAGATGTCATACTCTAGTTATTACCAGCTTCTTGCTCAAAGCCTCTCAGCAGTTTCTACCTCTGTTGTTTCACAAACTTTTTCATCAATTTTCCTCAAGAAGCCTGAGGGGCAATGAATTTATCTTGTACAGATAAATATAAATAGTCAAAAATTGGTTACCATGAGGCCAGAAGGATCAAAGTATGGACAGGGAGAGGCCTGTACACTTTCTGAGTGAGACATTTCTGTGAGCTCTTTTACAGCTACAAGAGATGGAAAAGCAATAATGAGTTAGTTAATAGTTTGGGGATTTTTCCACGGATGAATTGCACAGTCAGGATTTAACTGAACGACAGCAAAGACACAGACTTGGAGCTCACAGTGTTGCTTTAAACACTACAGATTGCATGAGGGAACCTGCATAAGATCACTCCAGAAGTGATTTCTGAATGTGAGGAGGGAGAGTTCAGAGTTCACTTGAAAACAGAAGCTGACCTAACCTTCATCACTCACAAAGGGTTCAAACATCTTAGGAGTCTCTGTTGCACAGAACATGCTGCTGTTCTCCTCCATCTTTTGTAAGCTCTCTAATGCTGTGCTGTGTTGGGTCAGAGCTCTCAGGAGAGCGATGTTGTTCACCAAATCAGGAAGACCTGATGAACTCCCTGCTGTGAATTCCAGGCAGTCCATCCCTATTCTTTTACCTTTCCTGTCTTCAGGAGAGGCATTTGCGCTCTCTGCATTTTCAAATTCTCTTACAACTATTGCTGTTCCCTCTGGAGATGAATAACCTGTTCCTAAAGGATACATAGAACTGGAAATGAGAGCATCTTCCTTATGTGAAATGCCAAACACTTTTGGATGGTCTTCTGCAACAGACTGGAGTGAGCCACAGCTGGGATGGGATCTTTGTGACACAGCCAGCAAAGGACGGCCTGGTGCACCCCAGAAGTGTTCTGTGCCAGCATCTGGGGATTCCAAGCATCCAAGGTGCGTGGCACCTTCCTCAGTCTCCTTATGCATGGCAGAAGTTATTCTGCAGGGAGAAATACCTGAAATGTTTCCAGCTGTCTCAAACGTGGTTTCAGGGGGACAGTCATTAACATTGGTGTCACCAGGCAGAAGATCAGAGTGATGATGTTTCACCTGTGGTGTGACATCCACATCCTCCTCATTGCTTGTGGTTTCTCTACTTAATTGACTTTGATTAATCTTTTCTGTGTTGTGTCCACCACCCCAAAGTTCCACTTCAATCCTGGTCCAGTTTGCAGAATGTTCTGCAGCTCTCCTGCTGTCTCTGACATTGCTTTCACAAAGCTGAGATGAAATATCCCTAGCACAGTGATTTCCATCATCCTCTCTGTCCAGTGTTGGACATTTGACTTCATTTCTGCTGTGTGTCATTTCTTCACAGCAAGAATGAGGTCTCAATGCAGCGTTTTGTGCTGCATCTTCTCCCTGTAAGCAATCAGGACCCTGTAGAAGTGTGTCTCCTTCTCTGAGCTTCTTCCCATCTCCTTCACACACATCTTCAGTGTCTGTGTCATTAAAATCAAATGTCTCCATGAGATTAAAGTTAACCTCCATCAGTTTTTCACCTGGACAATAATCTTTGCCATGCAGACTTAATTCCTCCTGTGCAATTCCAGCTTCAGCCCATGTCACATCCCCAGAGAGCTCCAGGTCACTAGGCAATCCCTCTGGATTTTCTCTTGGCTCAAGCTCACTCTGCACCTTCACAGATGAATTCTCCCTAAGGTTGTTAGTCCCTGACTGCTGCCTGCATCCAGAGGGATATTTTTGACAGGGAATTGGACTTGCTGAAGGTGAAATGTCACCTGAGGATGGGACAAATTGCCTTTCACTCACTATGCTCATGGTGGACTCAGGTAGGAGGGAACTATGTGTGTTGCAGTGATCTTGTGCATCTGGACTTAAATTATTTACCTTTTTGTCATGCCTTTGTCCTGTGGCTTCTCCACCACAAGCTGAATTTAAAAGGATTTCAGCATTCCAGTCCTGTTTCTCATTTCCAGTTCCCTTGGCAAAAGGCAGGTGGAGGTTTGGAACAAGTCCCTTGGCAGAGTCTCCTGACAAAGCAGGGAGGATGGTACTTCTTTTGTCATATAAACCTGCATCTGTTGACAGCTGAAAGCTGGGAAGACACTCTGTGCCTGCAGGTGTTTGCTGTCTGTGTCCTTGGGCTGGTTTAGACTTCAGAAGGGCAATTATCTGCGCTGTGCTCCTGATGTGGTGAGACACTGCCCTGGGACCGGTATGACCAGTACTGAAAGGAGGTTCTGCCTTCACCACAAACTGGTCACAGTTTTGCTTCTCTGCCTCCTCACACCTGTCAGGAAACTGAGCTGAGAGCAGTGAGGACACAGACATGGGCTCTCTGTCATTATCCCTACATGCATCTTCCTGGAATCCTGCAGGGAGATGTGTGTCTGCATCCTTCTTGCAAATCATGGAAAACAAGGGAGAGCCCACATAAAACTTGGCTGGAAAATTCCCCTGGTACTGCCTGGATAAAGGCAATGGTGTTGCTTCGTCTCCTCCTTCCATGCTTGGTGTTTTCTTTTCCACTTGACGTGGCCCTTGGAAACCCTAAGAAAGAAATTGTATCTAATTAATCCACATTTTATAATCAGATGTTGAAAAAAGAGCACAATCCATCAAATATCTCATGGTCAAATGGCCTGGAAATAGATCCTGATCATCATCAAATCCCATCGGGATTCCACAGGTGTACAGAAACACCCTCAGGCCTTTGTGGTTTTCATTTCAAGCCTGCAGTGAAATCAAAATTAGCCAAGCTGGAAAAACATAGCTACAGGCAACATCTCTAGGAATGAATGGGAGATGTTATTTATTTACTATTCATTAAAATCTGTGGTTTAAAATCAATGTTAACATCAGACATAAAAACCTGAACCAAAAACATACTGTGAACTTCCTTTTCAAGCCCACAGGGAGATGTCTTGGAGGCTGAAGTGCACGTTTTAGACCATTTCTATCCATTGCTGGAGTTTCTCCTTTCCTTGCCTGATCTTCAGGAGGTTTTTCACTCCCTTTTGCTGCTTCAACTGTGATCAAATATCTTTCACTTTCTAAGTTGTCTCCAGCTGTCACCTAGGAAGGAGAGAGCAGCAGTGAGTACATAATATGCTGTAGAAGAAACAATATATAGATGTATTTTAAATAAATAGAGGATTTTAAGTGCTTATATGTAAAAAATCAGATATTTACACTCAATATATCACAGATATTATATAAATATTTCTGGGTTTATATCTATCTATCTATCTCTATTTATCTGTATCTGTCTACAGATACAGAGAGATATAGAGATACAGAGAGATATATAGACATATAGAGATAGATATACACTACAAGTCACAGAATCACAGAGTCAGCCAGGTTGGAAAAGACCT